TTATGCGTAATCTCTGAAGTAAATGTTTCTTTAACATCTCCATCAGCCCTCAAGGGGGAATATTTTGGGAATGTCTGTATAGGGAATTTTGATTTTCCAAGCACGAGGGGTCCGAGATCGCTCACGTCACCACCGTTCCACGGTGGGTCCGAACTGAACGCTGCATGCCGACCCTAGCCAGATCACAAAGAGGCGGAAAGCAGAAACTTTATGGCAAAAGAGGAGAGCTTTTGCCGGAGTCGAGCTTGTTTCATCCATAACTCTATGCCAGAAATACCCAGCCCCAACCTCCCTGCACCACCAAAGGCTGCATGACAAAATTGACAGCGTTTCAAGTTGAGCACTCTATACGCGCATAACCCAATAAGTCCCTCCATATCGTCTTGCAATCTACTCCAATGATTATTTTCGTCCACGAAGGATAAAGGTTTCTCAGTCTTTCTCCTTCTAAACCAGCCTCATCCCCAGTGAGATCGCGTGGCTCTGTTGCGAGGAAAAACATGTCATTGTACTTAATCAAAAGGGGCCCTATCAATTCCGCTGTTTCGCATAGGTTCAATTGTCAGGTAATATTGAGAGTGGCCTCGCCTTTGTCGATAGTCCCTGGAGCCTGGAAATATTTGGGATGAAACATTAACAGGAAGTGGCATGAATGTAAACCCACACAATAAATGCATCCGCGATATAGTCAGAAATATATGTGACACCTGGTTTAGCTTACAAATGGCACTGCAAACACAAGAAATGCCCAAACAGCCCTTCGGGAAATTCTACTGCTGTCTGTTGACTCATAAAAAAGCCTTTGTAAATATATATATATACTTTTAAGACATTATCACTAACCGGTATTTTTTTTCGAACTGCTTTAGTACTTATGGCCTTCAAATAATTGTGCAAAGCATTTTAAACAAAAGAACAAATATACGAAGTATCTCAGCAAAACAAAGAGGGTGGTTCAAATTATCCTGTATCTACAACTCGCTCGTAAGCGATACGGTTATTGTCTGTATAACGTTCTCCATTCTCCTGGGCGCGCTAACGAAATAAAACCCGAGTAAGCATGCTAAAAACATGAAGTGCAGCCCTGGAAAACCATTACCAAGTAAACATCATGCCAACATATGGATCGACCTCGCACGCACTCAAACTTTCCAAACTCGGCACAGCCAGTGCTTAAGTGCTTGCTCGAAATATTTCTAAAACTATTAGTCAATGCCTTCTACATATTGTGCTGAATAAAAGACTCTAATTGATATTTTACTTTTTTAATAAAACACTTCTAAGCTAAAACTTTTTAAAGGTGACGCGCGAACAAAGAACAAAATTTACAACCTCGCATTTCTTATGTCATTAATTTGCTGGGATACCATAACAACGTTACGGGAGCTCATTAATACGTATCTGGATGTAAATTACTCGCTGACAAGTAACCTATTGATGTCATATATGAAATGAATTAGGGTGGGTTTGGGCTGTGGTAATGTTCTTTATCTTGTGGGTTTATATTATTACGCAGTCGTTAAACGTGAAAGCTCTTTCAAACAAAATGGTTCAATTTACCAAAAACTCGTTCATAACGGCCATTTTTGCTATTAGCATTTAGCTTTATTTCCACAGAGACCACGTCAATAAGATTGTATGAGCTTGACCTAAGGCTGGGAATTCCCTTGCGTGAAAAATAATCTGGCCATATACATGCCACACCGAACCATTAGCAAACGAAAGAAAATAAATTTACCCGTTAAAAGAGAAAAATAATGGGTACTAATTTTATTATTTTTTGTCTTACTTAGCAGGTAGAATTCTTCGTCATTTCTTTTTCAGTGATCAAAGCATACCGCCCCAAGGCAAAATTAATGACTTCTGACTTCGCTGTCAAATAAGAACAACGAAAGTACCATAAAAATCAGTCTACTTATATCGCTTTGGGAATACAATTTCGATCTTTTATTCTCATGTCTGTCCTTATATGTGAAATACTACATCATTGAATAAGTTTCCAATTGGAAGCTGATGAGGAAATGTACCTGTTCTGCAATACATGGTGAGAAAATTACTTCATCTTTAAAGTCCAGTCGTTAAAATGGGAAAACGAAAGAGTAACGGTTTTAAATGGTAACTATTTTGCCACTAGGATAGCAGTATTAAGGGAAACTAATACTCAATTGCACGGCAATAACAAAATTCTTTGAATTTCTTATGTTTAATACCAAAAGGTCGACGGAAAAATGTTTCCAAAAGCAGACGGTAAACCGTATCTTTGCGCCCTGTTGTAGCGTCTTCTGTCTAAGAGAGTGCACGTGAGGCCCCTCCACATCATCAAATACCCCATTAGAACAGTACCGTAATGACCTTGTACCTAGCCAAATGGAGACATCAAGCCGTTAGAAAGCCTCGTCCTTGTTTCCTCTAACCTTGTAATTACCAATCTATTCAATGATTTTTATTCATGACATTTTGGTGAACTGCTGTGTGGCATATTTGCGTGAATAAATGACTTCATATTTCAACATTTATATCCGTATTTTAATATACTCTTTAGCAATTCTTTTTCCTATGATAAGCAGTTTTGGCTAACACGTCCCATTTTCGTGTTTTTAATGAAAGACAAACACAATGAAAGTGGCCATCTGATCCCAAAGAGATCATCACCATTTGTTTTTCTCTATTCATTTTTTTTTATCACCACGACACAAAGTTGGGAAATAAAACCTTACAACAGATACCTTGGTTACCCTGAGATGAAATTCAAAGTTTGCCGCGTTTTAAACGCGGCAATACGCGTCCTTAAATGATATTCTAAAAGTACCATCCTTGAATCTACTTTACCATGTTCAGTGCAGCTGCAAACGTTAAACGGGGAAGAATTTCAATTCCGCCTAAGCGAAATATTTTCAATTATTATTAGCTATAGGCCTACAAGCAATCATTTGCAAGGAGTTATACAGAGCTTATGATTGTGTTATCTTTCCTTTGAATGACTACTGAGTTTGTAATTTGGCGTTGATAATTAAGCTTCAGGTGCCCCTATACAGCTTAGGGAGTTCTAGAAAAAAGGGAGATTTGGAGTCAACCACATCCGATTCGTCTAGTTATGAACAAGTTTCAGCGCGATAACCACATTTACACAAGTAAGCATAAATGCCAACCTTTAGTCTTTGCATTAGATTATCCCGGATGATACACCCCCATCCCCTGATCACAAAATATAAATTCATACTTCATGGATGCCAGTTGTTTTGCTGTCCTTCCCGTGAGCCAACAGCATCTGAGGCTATGGCCCATTTTGTCCGTGCACCAACGTTTTTTATAAAGTCGAACACGCAACGTCAGAGGTGACAGAGGTATCTGTGCTTACGAGATGCTACCACTATGCATGTTATGGTCCTGGATCGCAATTACCGACTTCATATTTCCCCACCAGCACTGGGCATCCCTAATGTGCGCATTGACTGTAAACCACATCTTGGAAGAATTGGTGCGGATACTAATGCACCAAAGAGAGCGTGAGAAGAACCTCTCAGCGACGTTGAACGGCGGGATTCAGAAACAAAGACAAAAGTCGCCCTGAAATGTCGGATAATATACGGGCAGTGAAGTTTTGCACGCGTATATCACCTAGGTAGCAGGTAATGAAATTTACCTTTTGTACATTCTTCAGACACGTTTTCACACAAGTGAACACGCCTCGCACTATTTCAGCATGCCGAAGGGTGGACCTGATGCGTTTCAGAAAAACACTGTCATAACAGCCAACTTTGGAACCCACAAAGCAGATTTTATTTCAACCGAATCTTCAAAATCTTTAAATGGAAATTGCTTCAACAGCACGCTTATTCAAAGGGTTTTTACTAAGCTACCACTTACTTTGTACCACAATACACTCGACGGAGAGTCGGATTACGGAAATGTCATACTGTGCCCCATTCCAAATCTCTTCAAACGGGCTCTGAAGATTGGGTCTTCAATTCCAGACAATTGCCGATGACTGGAGTTTAACACATTACTTCTCGGGGGTTCTCCTTGCATTTCGGCATATGCAATGACAGTCGTAATTTGTCGTTGCGATTAATAATTGTGAATTTAAAGACACTATTTTAATTCAGAGAGAAGGCTGCTTGTTTTGCTACCAAAATGACCAAAAATATGGAAAAGAGCACATCAAAGGACTAATTAAATTGCGCACCTTGTCACGGCCTCCCTTTGCATTTTGCCAACCAAAGTGAATTCCAATCGTTTCTCTTTCACTTTCCTTTTCATCCAATGCAAATACTGCATAACTTCCAAAAGGAGTAAAAAATGTATTTAAATGTGTCATTACACTCTCTAATGACAGAAAAGTAAAGAGTGCTTTAATATGTATCTTTAATTGGTTACTAATCTTGTCAGTAATTTTTCAAACGCTGTTTTTTAATATGAATTCCACAAGAGCACATAAAAAGACCCAGTCAAACTTTCACAACTTCTACGATCTTTGCCTTCTGAAAGAAAGCTATTTTGGCCAGGGGAATCTTGGCCACGTCCTGCAATGTGGTTGGTTAGCAGCTCACTAAATCGTTAACACGACTCTATATCAAACCCTCAGTGGCCAAGGGCAAATACAAAAAGTTTAACCAAATTGTACCAATGTACAAGCATTCGCAGCTTGGCAAAGAACGAGCTTTGTATATGCCGGGACATAGGCAGAACGTGACTTTAAACTTTTTCACAAGAAAGCTTGAAATTACATTTCGCCCCAAACCTCTCGAATGGAAGCTTTTATAGAAGCAGCGACGTGCACAATATACAAGCAGACCCGCAAGGCCACCTTAAACTTTCACCTTGAGGAACATCGTAAAATACTCGGGCACCGTATGTGGCTCTGATTTGCTTGATAAAGTCATTGAGACTGGATGAGGCATGTGTCTTTAGTCTGACTTTTATAATCTCAAGTGCAGGCGTTTAATTTTTGCACCGAGGATCAGTAATTACCAATTTATCAGGTCAGCAGCTGCACTTACCTTATGCGTGACGTGCCTGTAGTACGTTTCACAACCAAAGCCTTGTGCCTCCCGGCTTGCAAAAAAAGAGACTTGACAAGAGCCAACAAGCACAGTGAAACTTCCAAATCACCGCTTTCTTCCACTTCGTCGCCAAAGTGTTGGACAGAACCGACAACACCGATTGGTAGCTTGCTGTATTATGTCGCACAACACCGCAGACGATTTGTCCGTGCGCAGTGACGTTTGCCCCCCTGTCTGAGCCGCGACTGGCCACGGCACGGTCCTTAAGAGTCGTTCTGCTCCCAGCCTCCCTGACAACTGCACATGTAGGCGGGCGACCCAACGTACGACAAGGACGTCACCTGGCGGTGGTGCGAAATCTTCTCGGTTCCGACGACTATTCGGCGCAATGAATTCATATCAAAATTGGTTGGACGCGTCGGACGAGTCGCCTCATTGGTCCACTGGCTAGTTGTAGCAAAGGCAGTGAGGGAAGGGCGCACTTGCGGTGCATTAACAAAAGAAAAACAAATTTATGTGGTCCAAATAGTCCAGCTGGCCATGCCTGCATGAGACTCGGCATCTCAGAACCCCTAAGTACAACAGATTCTCTCAGTGGAGAAAACAGTGACAAATTATTCCAGCGATTCTGCCTACTATTCTATAAAGCAACATCTAAATGGAGGATCGGTTATCATAATGTTTTGATACAACAGCTTCGTGTGGAGAAATGATGGAGGCTATTCACGCGTAAAATGGAAGTGGGAGAGCCGAGGGCGATGAATTCTTCGGCGATATACAAACACACAATCTTTACTCCGATGTGAGCTAGACGGTAAATTAAACACAAAACAGCCGTCTGCATAAGCTGTCAACTCATCCCCATCGTATCAACGTAATCCTTTTGATAACTCACTCACACGGCACATCTACATTCAGAAAACTTGTACGCCTAAAGGTGTACAAGGTTACCTTGACAACGAAGGAAATATTTGCCATGGGACAGCGAATCAATCTGAGGCTTGAAAGACATTCGTTTGAAGGAGAATTGGAAATAGAAACAGCCAATTGTCAAAGTTGACCAGAATTCAACCTAAGATTTTAGTGCGCAAATACAGGTATAGGATATCAGTTTTTCCTCGTGACGTTTAAATTAGAATTTTTTCAGGCCATGGCCTTCACAATCTTGTTCGATTGAAACGATCGTTCGGTCTAAGCGATGTACTTGAAAATGAAGAGACCTTTGACTTTTCAGATGGCCAGAATTATTGTTTGAATCTGTATGGATTGCAAAAAAGATGTAGGATTAGCCTAAATAAGTAGAGTGTGGTGTAGTTCGATAACCAGAACTAGAAGCCATTACTGCGGTGGCACAACGCTCGTGGACAGATGGAACGCGCGCGTTGCATGCCTCTTCAACTAATAGGGTGTCGAGATTTGTCAAATGTACGTGCGCGTCAAGCTGAAGAATGCGCATGTGAGTGCGGCACCACTACAGTCACGGCGTCTAATCTGACTAGTCTTTACCCACACCAATTCAAGTGAGGCACCTACTTCCCTTTGAAAAGCCATCTGCTTCTGGTCTTGACCTGAGGGGCCAACCTTCAAGGGGACCTTTGAAATTTTTACATGGACCATCTCATATTTCGTTTGTTTGTACATTTGTTTAACTCACTTCAAGGGTTCAGTGTTGGAGAGTTCAGGAGGGGGAAGCGCTTATAATGACAAATACAATGATGAGCAGTTAACACCAGCTTCTGAATTCGGCCACTGCGTTGATGGAAAAGAGCCTTAGGAGGCATTATCATCTTACACAGGACAGAAAAGGCACCCAGTTGGCTGCAAAACAGCCAGCCCTCAGCCTTAATGCCTGCATAAAAAAGAAATCTAGCACTTGCAACTCGTGTTTCGAATTGAGACAACCAGCCAACACATTCATTCCGCTATCAATTTTCATGTGCCTTTGATCGAAGTGGATTTCAAGGGATAGGAGAGTTACCGGTGGATCTGTTTCCTCTCTCCCTCAGGAGGCAATGGGCTTGCACTATAAACGACTCTGAACAAAAGCGACGCCAAAAGTTCCGGCTCGTTGGGACGATAGCCAAGGGACAAAGACAGCAATTCCCGGCCAAGTGTGTATCACTATCACCAGGATGTGTAAGGAAATCGATACGGCAAAGCCTAGATTCAAATAATCATTACAGGTCTATTTACTGGAAATTGATTTCAGTAATTTATAAGATATAAATACCGACCTCAGCTAACAACATCGACAAAACCATATCTACGAGCAATAACTATAGAGCCTCCCTAAATGCAGGTCAAGAAAATCCGAGTCCATATTCAACAGGTACATGTGCTTGACTTTCCTGAGAATCCAAGACTCTACTTCGTAGGAAGGAGGCAACAGTAAGCCAATAAACAGAACTTCTGAGCGGCGAGCTGAAACTAACGTGACATGGCTGCTGAAACTTTGTCCGAGAACAATCGATGTGATGACAAAGAGAGAAACTAAATCGAGATAGAACGATCAAATTCCGCATTTCAATCAAATCTACACCAAAACCGAAAAAAATTGTCAGTTAACTCACTAAATTAAATTTGATACGTTTATGTAAAGCTGATTTCATCTAAACCCATGAAAATTGAGGAGTGCGTCCGATCCAAGTGCGTCACTAGGACTTGACCAGCGTCGCAAGAGTACGGGGGCAAGAAATGTTAAAGATCGATGCAAAATGTCAGCGCTATCTATGGTCGGACAAAACTTCGATCGATACCTACGTTGGCCTATTTTGCTTCTCAACAGCATGACATAACAGCGTGGAGAAAAAAAATCAAAACTTGTTTTCATTATAGCAAGTAAGCTTCATACAGTTCCGTCTCCGGGATCAAAATTTGAACGTCAAAAGTTTAGCATTGCCATTGTTGAACAGAAGCTTAAGGCATTCTTCAGAATAGACCCCTCCTGAAAATGCGCTGATATTAGCATTCAAATTCGTTTTGAAAAATCAAACCATTTATGCAGCACACATTGCACAGCAGGTGGTTTTTCAACAAAAAAGCCAAAGACGTCGACCCACTAAAAGCAGTTTTCTTCATACGATAATTTACCAAACAGTGGTTAAAAGGAAAAAGAGAAAGGAAAGCAGCCTGAAGGATATAGAGCTTTCTAGTTTGACGCAGATCTTTTTTTACATTGCCAAGGGTATTTGTTTCCCAAAGAACTGCGTTGAATGTTTGTTTGAGAAAGAAAAAGATGGAATTTCAGCCACGGTGACATTTAATCACATTTCTGTGCCTCTTCGGGCGCTGCGCCCCTTAATTACTTCTAACCCCTTCGACATCGCGTTATAATAGTCAGTCCTTTAATAAAGGAATTCATTTGCGCCGCTCTCGGGAGAGACATTAACTAAAATCCAATTTCCAAGTGCAGAAAGTAATAGCGTCCATACCGGTACTCGATGAATTGGTAATGCATTTTCTGCAGTCTCAAATTATGGAGCTACGCAACTACGTACATGGCATCCTTCGTTTAAGACTAAAGTGGGACGTGACTGAATGGCAACAGTGACCGTCCGCTCCAACGTTACATGTTGGTAGAGTATTCAAAGACGCCCCTCTTGGGGAAATAAGCATTGCTATAAATTTAAAGCCTTCCCCCATTTCCTGGCAGTTCATCGTTTTTATGTCGGAATAACTCCAATTCCGTCGTGATCCAATTCTTCACATCCAATTCCAAGACCCAAGAGGTGCGGCGAACGATGCACTTACGTTTGTTAATACTGCTTCTGTCAAACGGTTACTGATTGTGAGCAAGGGGTAGTGAAAAAAGACGAAAATCAAACTAAGAAACAAAAATACTGAGGTCTATACAAACACCGAAACATGCAACGATATGGGTTTTAGATAAGCTACACGTGACATTTTAAGAGGCAAGTGTTCCATTGCACGTGCTCCTGTATGAAACAAAATCACGTGGTAACGTAAAATGATTGATACCTTAGGTTTAAGGGGAGAAAGTATAATATCAAACATAAGATAAATGGCCTTAATTAATTAACTGTTCAGGTCTCTTGCTTTTAACAAAGTCGTGTATCTCCAAGGCACCAGGTCGGGCATAGTACATTGTGTTCTTGTTTTTAACCTCCTGGTTTTGAGGAAAGGCATCACTCCAACGAGGCAGGTGTTAACCTGCAGCGTTCAGGTCGCGAAGGCACTTATCCGGATATGATCATAAATTGGAGAGGCACACGCGTGCCTGTCTCTGATGACACAATTCACGTCGGGTCAAGCCATTACATGTCCTAGGTGGAACGGTAAAGGGATGACATCAAGCATTCTACACAAGCCCGATTTTATGAAGATGTGGATGCCATTCACGAACATCAAGAGTTTCCGATTTCTCGAATCAAGTTCGATTTCAAAAACTATTTCTCGCACGGACGTAATTAGCATCACTTTGCGATTAAAACAGGGGCCCGAGTTTATACTTCAATTTGAAGATGAAGGACTTTTAAGGGAAAGAGAGCCACTTTAATGTGCATCGGTAACTACTCAGTGAGGATGAACTTTTGAAAGCAGTTCGACAAGTTTGATAAATAGGAGGCACTGCCCGACATTCAAACCGGTTTCCATGCACCTGCCTTGGAGACCTTGGATTCAGCTTCACAAGGGCTATTTTCATCTAATGCCAAGCCCACAGACGCATGTACCATTTTTCTTGTGATTATGAAAAATGAGTGTAGGGAAGTCGAAAGAATACTTTCTTTAACTCATCGAGGAAAAAAACTCCAAATTCTGTTTCGTTTTCATGGACAGCTGTTAGAGACGTGAAACGGAAAGACGTTCCCCATGATCTCGAAGTCAACAGAAAAAAGGGGGAAAAGAGAAATATGTAAACTGGAAAGTTTCTCGGTCCTTCAGTGGAAACCAGCTTTACTTTTAGAGCACCATTCTTAATGTTGAACATGTATTAAGTCCCATTCAATTCTCTGCGACCAAAGCAGATCGACAAATTTCTCATCATCAGTTGCTACTAAGCAAATGGAGAAAGTGATGTAAAAAGTTGCGCATGCCAGCCATGGATGTCTAGGTTGCATACCGCGCGTATAAATTGTTGTATTAAATAGACACTCAATACCAGAAAGTAAATAGCATAAAAGGCGGCTCAGCCAGGGACTAGGCGTCCTATTTATCAACGGGCTATATCATAAGACATGGCAAAACGCTGGTGGAGGATGCCTCCAGCTCTCCGTGGGATACACAACATTCCATGTTTGGAGTGTTGGCCAGCGGGCTACGCACGGCTGATATTTTGCCTT